GCCGAGTGAAATGGCCATACGCAACCCATATAGAAGTGCCTCGTATTCGGCCTCATTGTTGGAGGAGTGAAAGTGAATCTGGAGAACATAACTGAGTTTGTCACCACGGGGGGAGACCAACACCACTCCAGCACCGGAACCATTCAGCATCTTGGACCCATCGAAGAACATGGTCCAATGCTCCGAGTGAATTTGGGCCGGAAGTTGCTGTTCAATCCACTTGGCGAGGAAATCAGCTATTTCTTGGGACTTAATAGCCTTCTTTGCTTCAAACTTGATATCCAGGGGAAGGAGTTCAATCGCCCACTTTGCCACTCGACTAGTTGCATCTCTGTTGTTCAAAATCTCCGATAATGGAGCATCGCTGACGACTGTAACGGAATGATCAGATAAATAGTGTGCAACCTTCTTTATGGTCATGTAAATTCCATAAACAAGCTTCTGATAATGGGGATATATTTGCTATGATGGAGTCAGAACTTCAGAAACGTAATACACCGGGCGCTGAACTTTATAAGTTTTTCCTTCTTCTTCCCGCTCGACCGTGAGTACTGTACTGACAACTTGTCCAGTGGCTGCAATGTAAAGCAGTAAAGGCTCTTTGCTGATTGGTGCAACAAGCACCGACTGGGTGGAAAGTAGGGCTTTGAGCTCTACAAATGCTGCATCAGCTTCGGGAGTCCACTCGAACTTATCAGACTTCTTCATCAGTCGGTAAAAGAGGCAGTGCCTTTTCACCGAGACGAGAAATGAATCGAATCAAGGCGGCCAAACAACCAGTAAGCTTTTGGACATCGTGCACACGCACAGGGCGTTTCATCCGAAGAATGGCACCAACTTTCTCTGGGTTAGCATCGATCCCTCGTTCGGAAATGAGGAAACCGAGTAACTTTCCACCAGGAACTCCAAATGTGCACTTTGATGGATTAAGCTTGATATCATACCTTCTGAGGTTGGCAAAGGTTTCGGCAAGGTCAGCCAGCAGGTCAGAACCTTTACGTGACTTGACTATAATGTCATCCATGTATGCTTCCACATTCCGACTGATTTGAGTGAGTAGGCACTTCTGGATCATCCTCATGAATGTGGCTCCGGCGTTCTTCAGGCCGAATGGCAAAGTGACATAATAGAAACACCCGAATGGAGTGATGAAAAGCCGTTTTTATCTCATCGGGCCCATACAGTCGGATCTGATGGTACCCGGAATAGGCGTCCAAGAAGGACAAACGCCCACACCCCGCAGTCGAGTCGACAATTTGGTCGATGCGGGGAAGAGGAAAATGATCTTTCAGGCAGGCCCGATTGATATGCTTGAAGTTAATGCACATGCGAAGTGAATCATCCTTCTTAGGGACCATGACAACATTGGCGAGCCACTCGGAGTGGTAAATCTCTCGGATGAACTCAGCTGCCAGGAGCCGAGCCACTTCCTCGCCAATTGCTTTTCTCTTCTGGACGACGGACCATCGGAGATGTTCCTTGACTGGTTTTACTTTTGGGTCGACTCGCAAACAATGCTCAGCCAGTCCCCTAGGTACACCTGGCATGTCAGAAGGTTTCCATGCAAAGATGTCCTAGTTCTCATGGAGGAACTGTATGAGCGCTTCTTCCTATTTGCTGTCGAGTGTTGACGAGATATGGGCCGGAGCAGCATTGGGATCGGTCGGGTGAACATGAATCCGTGCAGAACGTTGTAGACATAGACAAAATTACAAAATACACACGACTCTGAATGTGGCAGACCCGTAGACTAAACTTCTTCCACAAGCAAAACATGATCACACTTTGGGTGTTAATCACATAGCGATGTGAACTAGATTATTGGCTCTAGTAAACCCTTTGGGTATTAGTCACATGGAGATGTTAACTAATCACATAAAGATGTGAACTATTGGTGTTAAATTACAGGACGATGTGAACTAGATTATTGACTCTAGTGCAATTACAAGTGTTATTGGTGTTAAATTACAGGACGATGTGAACTAGGTTATTAACCAGAGATGCGTCTCGGTCATGTCTACATCATTCTCAAACCCATAGGGTCCGCATGCTTAACGTTCGTTGACGATATAGTATTATATGAGTTATGTGAGTTGATGACCGAATGTTGTTTGGAGTCCCGGATGAGATCACAGACATGACGAGGAGCTCCGAAATGGTCCGGAAGTAAATATTGATATATAGGACGATGCTATTTGGTCATCGAAAAGGTTTCAGGATATACTGGGTATTCATTGGGTCACTGCAAGGTGTTCCAAGAGACCTAGGGGGATTATATGGGCCTAATGGGCCAAGGGGAGGCACACACCAGCCCACAAGGGGCTGGCGCACCCTCCCCCTGGCTGTCGACCCTAGGGAAGGAAAGGAGGGAGGGCTAGCCCCTCCTGCCTCCCCCTCCTCATGGGAGAAAGAAGGGGGGGCACCCTCCCCCGCCTTTCCCCGTGCGCCTAAGAAGGTAGGGGGTGGCTAGGGCAAGGCCCAAGGTGGCCGCCGACCCCTTGTGGTAACCCTAGGCTGCCTCCCCTTCCCCCACCTATATATATGTGTGGAGGCAGAGGGGCAACACACACGACGATACCCAAGCCATGTGTAGCGCCCCTCTCCCTCTAGTTCGTCCTCGACCATATTTTCGTAGTGCTCGGCGTAGCCCTACGGAGATAGTTGCATCACCACCGTCACCACGCCGTCGTGCTGCCGAAACTCATCTTCTACTTCGCCTGTCTTGCTGGATCAAGAAGGCGAGGACGTCATCGAGCTAAACCAGTGCTAAATGCGGAGGTGCCGTACGTTCAGTACTTGATCGGTTGGATCGTGAAGGTGTTCGACTACATCAACCATGTTGATTAATGCTTCCGCTAAACAGTCTACGAGGGTACGCAGCCATGCTCTCCCCTCTCGTAGCTATGCATCTCCATGTATAGATCTTGCGTGTGCGTAGAATATTTTTTGTTTTCCATGCACCATTCCCCAACAGTACCTGGGCTCATTCCCGGCAGGCGGCGGGAATGTATCCCGCCGCGCGGAGCTCAGTGATGGTGGTGTCGGTGACCTTAGAGGCCACCCACCTCCCCGTCATGTCCGCATCAGCCATTCGTGCGAATGCAGAAGCTTGGGGAGGAGTTTTTTTTGGCTTGAGAATGAGATTGGGAATGTGAAGGCTTGGAGGGTTCGAGCGCTGAAGCAAACCTCTTATTGGCACGTCGTATCAAAATGGAGATCATGCCCCGCATTTTAGGGGATATCAATTATTTCTCCCCAAGCACATCTGATTATATTCGGCATGTAAATTCTTAGATGGCAACCGGCCATGTGTAACCCTAGATACCTCTGGTGCCTATATAAACCAGAGTGTTTAGTCCGTAGAGACCATCCATACACCCGTTCATCATACCCCCAGGGGTTAGACCACAACTCACGATCTTGAGGTAGGTCGGTTATGTACTTTGATAATTCCATAATATAAGCAGGAGCAGAACGTAGGGTTTTACCTTCATAGAAAGGGCTCGAACCTGGGCAAACTTTGCGCATGTTCTCTCTTGTTACCCATCGACCCGATCTAAACAGCTCGGGCCACCCTACCCGAGATCTGCCGATTTTAACACCGACATTAAGTGTTTGACTTTTCTAATATTCTTTCTTAGAACACAATATAGACCCATACGCCCATACAGTCACACCACCGTTCTACTGACCATTCATGCACATGTTGGTAAAAAAAAAACTGAATCACGCCGCGTCATCACAGCAGCAGCGCGCAGCCTTGATGAAACCCCTTGACTTTGACACTGACATTCGCTCAAGCCTGCCCGCAAAATAAAAAAGACGTTCACTCGAGTCTAAGTGTTTGACCTTTTCTACTAGTCTTGATTGATGAGAAATGGACTCATTTCGTTATTTGTTCGGGTTATTAGTTAGGGAAAGAAGAAAAAGACTAAACGCACCGCACCACCACGCACGCACGCACGCACGCTGACTCTTCGTCGCCCCGCCCGACTCGACCAAGCGAGCGAGCGAGCGAGCCAAGATGGGCAGAGCAGGCGAGGCGAATGTGGCCGCACGAATGATGTGCCCCCGGACCCGAACAAGAGGCCAGCGTTGCTTTCAAAAAAAAAAGAAAAAAAAAAAGAACAAGAGGCCAGCGTTGCACCGCGGCCAAGGAGCGCGACCGGAGCGCAGAGCAGAAACAAGTGGGTACGGTGGGACGGGAGGATAAAGCAGCCGCACGCGATTTTGTTTAGCCCCCCACCGCTTCTTCTTCCTCGTCCCCCTCCCCCCCTTGCGCCCAAGTAGCACTACC